AATAGACAAATTTTCAAATTTTCTAATTTTAATATTTTCCATTTTCCACGTATGTGAATTTCCATATTCCCTAATTTATTATTGTTCAAATTGTCAAATTTCTACAGTCCCAAATTTTCAAATTTAGAAATTTCAAACTTCACAAATTTTCAAACTTAAAAATTGCAAGCTTCCCAAATACTCAAATTTAAAAATTGCAAGCTTCCCAAATTCTCAAGCTTAAAAATTGCAAGCTTCCCAAATTCTCAAGCTTAAAAATTTCAAGCTTCCCAAATTCTCAAACTTAAAAATTGCAAGCTTCCCAAATTCTTAAACTTAAAAATTTCAAGCTTCCCAAATTCTCAAACTTAAAAATTGCAAGCTTCCCAAATTCTCAAGCTTAAAAATTTCAAGCTTCCCAAATTTTCAAACTTAGAAATTGCAAGCTTCTCAAATTCTCAAATTCAAATTTTCTAATTTTAATATTTTCCATTTTCCACGTATGTGAATTTCCATATTCCCTAATTTATTATTGTTCAAATTGTCAAATTTCTACAGTCCCAAATTTTCAAATTTAGAAATTTCAAACTTCCCAAATTCTCAAACTTAAAAATTGCAAGCTTCCCAAATTCTCAAATTAGAAAATTTATCAATATTTCAAAATTTTTATGGATCAAATTTTCAAATTTGCAAATTGTCAATGTTTCAAATTATTAAATAGACAAATTTTCAAATTTTCTAATTTTAATATTTTCCATTTTCCACGTATGTGAATTTCCATATTCCCTAATTTATTATTGTTCAAATTGTCAAATTTCTACAGTCCCAAATTTTCAAATTTAGAAATTTCAAACTTCCCAAATTCTCAAGCTTAAAAATTGCAAGCTTCCCAAATTCTCAAACTTGAAAATTCCAAACTTTCCAAATTCTCAACTTGAAAATTCTCAAACTTTCCAAATTCTCAAATTAGAAAATCTCAAGCTTCCCAAATTCTCAAATTTAGTAATTTCCAATTTCCCAAATTCTCAAATTTAAAAATCCCAAACTTCCCTAATTTTTAAGTTTAAAAATCTCAAACCTCCCAAATTTTCAAGTTTAAAAATCTCAAACCTCCCAAATTGTCAAATTAAAAAATTTCACTCTTCCCAAATTCTCAAATTTGGAAATCTCAACCCTCCCGAATTCTCAAATTTAAAAATTTTAACCTTCCTAAGTACTTAAATAATCAAAAATATCAAAATTTCATCCCTAAATTCGAAATTTTCCAACTCTGTCAATTTTTACATTCACAAAATGGCTTCCATGATTTACATCTACATAACCTCACAATGTAAAACTTCACCTAGTAAAACAGCAAGTATATATTAAACAGAGATACTTGGTCATGCCTGTAAAAAAATGTAACACCACTAAAAGCAAAATTTACAACCTACTAAACTCACCAAACTGAGCTGTTCCTTATCATTATTATCTCTACAAGTTGAGTAATTTCCATAATTTTTAATTTACATAATAACTCTCAAAAGTGTTAGTAACGTATCTAAAAAGTGTTCCCTATTAAATAAATTTTTTACAGTTTTATCTATTTTAGTTAAATGTCACCAATATAAAATTGCACCAGTGTTTGATACTAAAATAAAATGTTTCAAATATTTCACGATGCAAATTCGTATAAAAACGAAATTATTTACCATACATTTTATAACAAAGCACTATTTTCCTCTCGACACCGTGCATGTGCATCGCACATTTTTATCCAATGTTTACTGTTGATTATATGTGTGAATTTTATATAACGGAGCCCATTTTTCGTGAGAAATCAAGCTCTGTATTTTCCTTTCCATTTTGTCGTACATCATTTTCTTTTCGCCACTTGCTAGCGGAAAATTCATACGTCGCACGATCTATTTTTCTTACACGTTTCTCATATTTTATGCAATACGTATCTCATAGTACATGTATATGATAATTTCGACCTAAATTCATGCATTTTGAGGTTTATAAGCTCTGAACACCAGGAATTTGGTCCCTCTTACGCAATGAAAGCTTTCGCTATTAAATATGTTATATTCAAAAATATTTGTGAGCAACATTAAAATCTTTCGTTGATAAATTCAATTTTTAATAATCGTATTTATGGCCCTTTTTATATTTCACATAACTTGAATACTTTGTTGTGTGCGAACCTAACCTATAATGCGACTGACGCTCCCATTTGTTGCATTGTGTGTTCCTAGAACAGAGTTCTAATTACCTCCTTTTTTGGTGAACTTCCAAAAATTTTACTTTGGGAGTAGAAACAAACTTTTGGGTTTCATCATTTTTTCATTTTACAACTTTCATGGATTTTGTTTCATTTTTAAATTAAAAAACTTTTTTTTTTCGTGTTTGTTAATTGGAATTGATTGTTATACTTCGTGTTATATGATATTTGTTATATCATTTTGTATTTTTACTTTTGTAATGATATTTAGTTTTTGGTATGATATTTAGCTTTTTATTTTAAACAAATTTGGATGATATCTAGCTTTTTATTTTTGTAAAATTACGATGATATGTAGCTATTTATTTTTGTAAACTTACGATGATATCTAGTTTCTTATTTTTGGAAAATTACGATGATACTAAGTTTTTTATTTTTGTAAAATTACGATGATATCTAGTTTCTTATTTTTGGAAAATTACGATGATACTAAGTTTTTTATTTTTGTAAAATTACTACGATATCTAGTTTTTTATTTTTACAAAATTACTATGACATTTAGATCTGTATTTTTATAAAATTGTTATGATATGTAGTTTTTTATTTTTATAAAATTACTATGACATTTAGTTTTGCATTTTTATAAAATTGTTATAATATTCAGTCTTCTATTTTTACAAAATTACTATGACATTTAGTTTTTCATTTTTATAAAATTGTTATAATATTTAGTCTTCTATTTTTATAAAATTACTATGACATTTAGTATTGTATTTTTATAAAATTGTTATAATATTCAGTCTTCTATTTTTACAAAATTACTATGACATTTAGTTTTTCATTTTTATAAAATTGTTATAATATTTAGTCTTCTATTTTTATAAAATTACTATGACATTTAGTATTGTATTTTTATAAAATTGTTATAATATTTTGTCTTCTATTTTTACAAAATTACTACGACAGTCAGTTTTGTATTTTTATAAAATTGTTATAATATTCAGTCTTTTATTTTTACAAAATTACTACGACAGTCAGTTTCGTATTTTTATAAAATTGTTATAATATTCAGTCTTTTATTTTTACAAAACCACTGTGACATTCAGTTTTTCATTTTTATACAATCATTATAATATCTAGTTTGTAATTTTTGTTAAATATCTATGACATTTAGTTTTTCATTTAAAATAAAGTTGCAATAATAATAAATAATAAGTGTCACACAATAAAATTTCTTTTTCCAGTTTCTAAAATTGTCTTCCACTTTTAATTTCTGAATTATATATCACAGTAGCCACAGAAATAACTTCATTTGAATATATATTGCAACTTTCGACTAGTAAGGTAGATTTACTGCGTATCTCATTTCCTTTATGAGACTCCTTAGCTTCGAATTTTCGGCAAGTGTTGGAGATAATTAGACATTCTGTTTCGACAGGAACGTAGATAAAACGATGCTGCGTATTACAATATTCAGATTGAAGATATTTTATGCATTTTTGCAGTTTCTGCTTTCTGGGCCTTGACAATCGCATCCCCTTTTGTTCATGTATTCCCCATGTGCGTTCGTTATTATCATCTGTTCTGCAGCTTCACCATTTATGCAACTTTCTAGCCCTAAATTATTGTTTACGTGTTTATACAGGGTGATTCTAAAATAGAGAGACAATTGGTAAAGAACTAATCATTCTTCAGTGATTTAATCACTTTTTGTATGCAGCATTTTTTTTAAATTTATAAAACATAATTTTTAAAATTACAAATTTATAAAACATAAAACTCTACAATTCAGATTTATTAAATATAAAAATGAATAAATTCTCAAACTAAAAAGTTAAATAATTTTTTATTTGAAGAATAAAGTAATTATGAAGAACCTCCATCTTGTGAAAAAGTACTCCATATTTTTCCAAAAACAAATTCAATATTTATAAGAAATTTTCAAGCTAAATTTTCCTAACATCATATAATAAAATTTTATTACACGAATATTGTTAATTTATTTTTGCAAGGCCTTTACCGGTTGTGCCGTGATTTTAGAAACGCCCTGTACATTCAGTTAGCACGCGATCATTTGCGAACCATACATATTCTGTGCGTCAATGCGTTCTTTCACTTGAATGTATCATTTGAATGTAACACACACTCGTTTGTTCGCATTACACGTGCTCAGCCGGTCCAGTCGATCTAATCGATCCAACATTAACAAAAACCGACATATTTTTACTTTTTATTCACTGGGCTCTTTTAATTAACACTTTCGATGCAATACGTAACTCTCTAAATTAATAAATACGATATGAATAGTAACAAATTTTAGGAAATCTTTTATTTACCTATAGTGTGACTCCATTTTCTTCATGAAATGTACTCTTGAAAAATACAAATTTGTTAATGGAGTTACATTTTTAGTGCCAGTTCGAAGAAAATAAAAATTATATTCAATGTTTTCCTCAACAATTTTTGCCCATCTCTTATCAACTTTGAGATGCAACCCCCATTTATGAAACAAATTTATGAAACGCCCTGTAGATATGCGATGGAACTTAAATTTTTCCTGAACATTCGTTCATTTACGATGCATCGAACGCGTTAACACAGGAGCCGAAATTCATGGACAAAAGCTGGAACACAGAGTTTAAAAAGTTCATTGCGAATATTAAGCGTATCAACTTGGGAAACTTCAGATCGTCCGAAAGTTTCATGGAATGTAACGATCGACTGTGAACTTCCGAAGCAATCACCGACCGGCTTGCTTGTAGTTTGCAGAATACGTCGTCTGTTTGGTGTATATCTGATGGCGTTGTTGGTCGTACAGGTCGTGTTGGGTGTCCGCACTTCATGGCGCCGGAAGTGATCCAGCGCAGACAGTATGGGAAACCTGGTGACGTCTGGTCAGCCGGAGTGCTACTCCATGTCCTACTAACTGGTACACTTCCGTTCGTGGGTTCTCGAGATAGACTGCGAGAAGCAATTTGCAGAGGAAGAGTTCAGGTAGATATCATTTTTTATTTAATATCTTCAAAATTTCATTTTATAATGTCTTTATCATCTATTTGGGTGATCGTTAGATAAATATACGCCTGATAAATACGTGCTTGGTACATGAACACTTGATAAATATACGCTTGATATATACATGCTTGATACATGTACACTTGATAAATGTATGCTTGATAAAAACATACTTGATACATTGTATACTTCATAAATATCCATCTGATACATTACACACTTTATAAATATCCATCTGATATATTGTACACTTCATAAATATCCACTTAATGAATACATGCTTGATAAATGTACACTTGATAAATATATGCTTGATAAATACATACTTGATACATTGATACTTCATAAATATCTATTTGATACATTGCACACTTCATAAATATCCACTTAATGAATACATGCTTGATAAATGTACACTTGATAAATATAAGCTTGATAAAAACATACTTGATACATTGTATACTTTATAAATATCCATCTGATACATTGCCCACTTTATAAATATCCATCTGATATATTGTACACTTCATAAATATCCACTTAATGAATACATGCTTGATAAATGTACGCTTGATAAATATAAACTTGATAAAAACATACTTGATACATTGTATACTTCATAAATATGCATCTGATACATTGCACACTTCATAAATATCCATCTGATATATTGTACACTTCATAAATATCCATTTCATACATTGTACACTTCATAAATATCCACTTGATAAATACATGCTTGATACATGTACGGTTGATAAGTTCCCACTTGGCAAATATCCACTTGATTAAAACTTGATTGAAATTGCAAGGTTCTCATGGCTTAAAATACCAAATTCCGATCCATCCCGATGTTGTCCGAAATTATCCGATCCAACCGGTCCGACCGTATCCCAAGTTGTCCGGCCCGTATCCGAAATTACACGATCCGTTCCGACTCTACCCGAACTAGCACCCCAATCTCTCACACCCTAACTCCTCACATTTCCAAAAGCTTGTTTTACTAACAAATTCATTAATTAACCCAAGACGAACTCCGCTTTTCCTCTTTCAAACAAATCCAAACTCTCCCTAATGAGGTACACTAATTTCCACGAAATCTGAATTAACCGACGGAAGAGCCTCCTAACGAGACGCATCAAAAGATTAGGATGCACTTAGCAGTTAATGACGTCGCAAGGAATATAAAAAGTGTTTTGTCACATTCGCAGATGGAAACACCACCTTGGGACTGTATCAGTGAACCGGCAAAGGATCTCATACAAAGGATGCTCACTACGGACGTGAATCACAGGATTACTATTCAGGAAGTCCTTAACCATAAATGGCTTAGAGTAAGTTCTGCAGTTTAGTTCATTTCCTGTGCCGAGTTTCTAAGTTCAGGTTAAATATAAATAGGACAATTTGTATTCAAATTTGAGAGCGAGGTTGCGATAGTAGAAATGATTAGTAGGGAAGTAAGAATATGGGGAAACGTTCTTGGAGAACATTTAAAGCGGTTCGCAGCAGCACATGTTCGTCCACGTTAGCAACTTCTCTTCAGCGGATGCTACGGGCGTATCTGCTTCTTTTTATATCGTATCAGGTTTTCGATAAACGGCCTCGTTTTCTGTTATTATATCGGATGAATGTGCGTGCGCATGTGCACGGCATATGGTGTAATAAAGTGAGAATACACCTATATGGTAGGACAGTTAGCCAGTGACCTAAGGTAGCGGAGCTTGGAATCACCCCATATATCGATGCAATACACGTGCAACTGGGCTATCGATCGTTATAGCAGGGGCAAAGTTCCACCGGTTAATGAAAATAACTGTGACGATGTATATTATTCTTTGTGCTAGTTACGGGTTTTTGAATGTAACCGCTCGTTCCACCCCATGCTACTTTGCGGAACGTATATAATCACCCCTGTTGCACTCGGAGCGTTTTCGACTCCTTTTATGATAAATCATGATGATGTTTTTTTATAGAAAGCCTTTCTTAACTCTTTGTTTACGTAAGGGTGAGTGCTTGAAACTGTGGGAGTTTGACAGACTGAAACTATTTGAAAAAATTGCAATCATTTCTTATATTTTGGTCTCTGATTTCTTGCTTATGTAGAGCAGTGGTTTTCGATCTTTAGGTTTAGGACATAGGTTGATTTATGTGGTATATGAAGAGGCTTTTGCTCGAAATTATATTTTCATTGATAAAGTATAAATATAGGAAATGTCAGTTTAACCAGTGATACGTGAATGATTCATACAACACGTATAACAGACTCGGCGTTCAAAACTTTATTTTCAATATTAAAGAACCTGGTCAGGTTCTGGTTTTAATATAATAAAACCTGGTTAAAAATAGGAACATGTTTAGGAACAAATTACAGAAGGAACAATTCAAATTTTAATGTAAATTATAATTAAAAATATAATATTGATCACAGTTGCGTTGCAGTTTATTTTGTAAATGTAAAATGGAGATGATTGTAACATATTCTGTTGTGTTTGTAGGATAGAGACAAGGGCGTGGCCCGGATACATTTAGCTGAAACTATAGAAGAACTTAAGAAATTCAATGCAAGACGAAAACTGAAGGAAGCTGTGAAGGCGGCTGTGTCGTCGTCAAAATGGCACGCACCGTATTCGGAAGTTAATGGCGACAGCTTTTTCGATATTGGAGACGATGAAGTCACGACCACAGGTATATTTAAAACAACATTAAAATTATTCTTTTGTTTAATTGAAACAAGACAAGTAAAATCACAAAATTAATAAAAAAATAATTCAAAACAAAATTATTGAAAACCATGTAAAAATCAAATTTATAAAAATTATTATAAAAGAAATTTTAAATAATTTTATTTCTAAAATCGAAACAAGACAAGTAAAATCACAAAATTAAATTTTAATAAAAGAATCATAAAAATCATTGAAAACAAAATTATTTGAAATCATGTGAAAATTTATAAAAATTGAATACAACAGAAGGTTTAAATAATTTTATTTCTACAATTATTATTATTATTACTATTATATAATTAGTATTACTAAATTACAATTACAATTATTATATTGAAGTTCACAATGTTCTTTATTTTTAATTTTAATGTTTTATGTATCAAGAAGGTTTCTGATGTTTATTAATTAAATTCAATATAATATATAATTTATATGATAAATTTTTTTTTATGATAAACCACATATTTACCACATATTATGATACCACATATTTAGTATATAGTTCAGTATTTAAGTATCTTGAAATCAATTTCTAATACTGAAATTTACTTTTAGGTGCAGTAGCCGAAATTTTAGACTCTCTGGATGATATTGAAGTACTTCAGGAGAGTGGAAGACTGACGCGTGTAGAAATATTGAATGCGGTGGATGATTATCGTCTTCGAGCAATCTTAGAGGTAAAAATCCCACAAAGTAATTGAAATACAACTATTACTCTCTTCGACATTTTTATTATACAAGAGATACAGTTCCCAATTTAATACATAATCTTCATGCTCCTACTTTCTACAATGAAGTTTTAGCCTCCATTCAAACTTATAATATCTTCTATTTAAACTTGTTATCAGTTACTATAAGTTTAGACTTGTTATAAGTTTAAACAGAATACAGATATTTTACAGTTCACAACAAATAATCCTCACAGAATTTATAGTTACTAGGCTCAATTACAAGTTACTTTAGATATTATCTTGCTAACAGTACATATTAATAATTTTAAAATATTGTACAAAAAGAGAGTCCAAAACAATTGTCATAGTTTATACTAATATATCAACTACTTTATGTAGTTATCTATTGTTGATCAACAAATTTTTACAAGTGTCCTACCTTACCGACGTTCGAAACGGCAGAGACCTACCGGCGCCACAGTGACATTCCCCGTTCAAAGTGTCCGTGTTCGCACACTTTCTTATCGTATTCGTATCCCGAGGGAAGAGGTACGCGCCCTCATTTTACCCGGGAAAAGGGCGCAAGCGCTCGACCCCTTGTCAATATGGCCGACAAGCTGTTCTGGTAAACAAAATGCTATACACAATCGTGAATTGTCAGACCCTTTGAACGGGTAAATGTGTGCGAGTACTGCTTTGCGTGTGTCACGTGGGCTGTAACGAGCCACGTGTTTCGGATATGAAGGCGCATTCTAAACGAAGATGCGCCTTTGTCAATTAATGTTCCTCGGAGAGGCCGAGCTGGCCTGTGATCTTCTCGAAATAGCGGGTCTCCTGGTGAGTGATATTGCTCTCGCATGTAAACGAACGCTAGTTAATCAACCGTTGGTTTTGTCCCTTTCTTACGTCGGTAACGTAAACAATGGCTTCGTCACGCACGATATGTTGTACTATGACGTGATGGGACATCTAAAGGTTTCGCGATGAACTAACGGGTTTTGCCGGGAATACGATTAGTGTGTATGTTTGGGGGCATAGTAATTGGACGTGTGTTCATTGTGTGAGGGAAAATTAAACTAAGGCAACTTTCGTTACTTGCGAAATAAGGTAAATAATTTTGATTAGGTATATTTCTTGTATAAAACATGTTGGAGCAGAACTAATAAAACAATTAAAGGTTAGTTTGACTGTGAGTGAACTTAGGGTAACATAGAATGGTAAAGTAATTTATAATTGTGTTTGGAGAATTTTCAAACTTATCTTCGTCATCGAATTTTGAGTTAATATATTTCTTTGAAAGACTTTGATACTTAAAGTATTATTTTGGGAATTGAATTTCAAGACAACAGAGAATGCATTGCATAGAATAGCAATGAATAAAAACGTCAGAAGTTATGAATACTTTTTATTTGAATCTGAATATTATAAGTGTTTTGATAATCAAATTTCAAAATGTGATGTTGCACGAATTTTATGAAGATCGTTAATAAAAATGTCAGTGTTATAAATATTCTAGTTAACAACTTGAATGTTAGTCACAAATTACTAAAGTTATAATATTATTTTTTTAGCTTTACGACCGAATTTCGACTCGCGTCCCAACGCCATGTCGGGCGCCACAGACGGACGCGGTTCAAAGAGCGCGGGAAGTTGAAGAACTTCTTCGGGAAATTGAACATTCTGCAATACGAACCATCGACAGATCGGACCTTCGGGAGCTTCACGAACTTCTGGTCCAGCCGCATATGAGGGTGAGTGCAAATTTACTTGAATATTATTGATCGGTGCGGCGCCTGATTTTGGCGCGAAATTCGAATGTCAAGAGGTGCGCTATGGGTTATTTCAGCAATTTGATTATGAACCTTAAGAATTATTATTGTAAACAATTGTTACATCACACCATGCTGTATGTATACATATGAGTGACGTTTTACATCATTAATTAATTAATACTTGGTAAGTAATTAGTACTTGGAGTATTATTATAAAATGACTGGTTAAGTTAGTTTGTTTGCAATAATTCTGGGAAACAATTTTCACAATTCAAGAAATTTTTAGGTGAGAAAATTGTTTATGGGTTTCGACCCAAAATTGTTTCTTAAAAATTACATTATCATATACATACACACACATACATAAATACATACATACACACATATATACATACACATATTATACATAAATAAATACATACATACACGCATGCATACAGGTATATGTATACATATACTTAAAAATTCCTATGTTATAAATATGATTTAAATAAACAATATGAGTTATATTCAGACATGAATGAGCTATTATTAATTATACTTAAAATATTTTGACTTACTTTGCTAAACAAGGAATGTTACACTTACTGTTTTATAACATATTTTGTTATAAAATATTTAAAATTATATAATTATTAAAATATTCATATAAAGTATTTTCCAATTTCCAAATACAAAAGTTCCAACCGAATATAAAGGGTTAAATAAAAAATTGTAATCTTTCAAACGTCGCAAAGGAACTTCGTTAGCAATTTCAGCGATATAACGAGCGTCCATATCTCCGGACGTCCATCAACAGCGAAAATAATATCAGTTTTCCCCCAAACTCTGTTTCTAACCAGCAAACCATGAAACATCAAACGGGCCATTAGTTAATCAAAAACACTCGAAACCAAAACTTGCGGTGAGTTTCCGGTGACGATCTATCAGGCATGATCGAAATCTCTTCTTTCCATTCGTCGTATATTTACCGGGTGTTTGACATTGCTTGCGATATACTGTAAATAGGGCGCAGAAATGTAGGTCGATCGTTAAAATTCTCATTTAAAAATCCCGTAGCTGTAGCGAGAGGAACACATAAAGGGGGGAAAAGTTGGTTCGAAAGAGCGGGACAAATAACGGAGAAGAAAGCGGGGGAAAAGAGGCGAAGATAAACTGGAGGAACGACGTTAGAATGACTTCTGATAACCGAACGGTCTATGCATTTCGGTAACCGACTTGTTAATTATTCCCCTTCGTAATTCCAGGACGTTCATTATTCTTATGTCCCGTGTTGAAATTACGTTGTCCGATTCTGAAGCGGTTTAACGTTGATTAAACGTGTAATCAGCCTACGGCTTTACGAGAAATTTGGTATTCCGTTCCGGATTCGGGAAATCGATGGCCCACTTTAATTATTGCTAGGATTACATATTATTCTCAACGGAACTCTTTAGTTGTGTTCCTGGGTTCTGGGACGCCATTTTGGTTTTTGGGAAATTTTGTTAAGTATAGTGATTTATGTGAGGTTATGTTGATTCAAGTGTTTTATATATAATAAAAATATATTATTGTTTGTAGGATTTATATAAGATGCTACAATAACGTATAATAAGATATGTAACTATGTGACGTATGTAAGGTATGTGTAAATGATATTGAACGGGGTAAATGGAAGACTTGTGTAAAATATTATAAAACAACATAAATTTACTTAAATTTAATATACGAACAATAACGTATAACAAAATATGCAACATATGTGACATATGTAACACATGTGTAAATGATATTGAACGGGGTAATTAGAAGACTTGTGTAACATATTATAAAACAACATAAATTTACTTAAATTTAATATACAAACAATAACGTATAACAACATATGTAACATATGTGACATGTGTGACACATGTGTAAATGATATTGAATGGGGTAAATGGAAGACTTGTGTAAAATATTATAAAATAACATAAATTTAGTTAAATTTAATAGACAAACAATAACGTATAACAACATATGTAACATATGTGACATATGTAACATATATGTAAATGATACTGAATGAGGTAATTGGAAGATTTTTGTAATATATTATAAAATAACAGAAATTTACTTAAATTTAATATACACACAAAAACGTATAACAACATATGTGACATATGTGACATATGTGTAAATGACACTGAATGGGGAAAATGAAAGATTTGTGTAACATATTATAAAATAATATAAATTTACTTAAATTTAATATACAAACAATATTATATTAAAGTAAATTGAACATCTAACAAGACTATTAATTTAGTCTAACAACCTTCAATTTAACCTAACATAATCCAACAGTTGTATTCAGCAGCTTCAACCTAACCTAATAATCTGATGAACTGAAGTGACCAGATTTAATTCAACTATAACCTTCTCACTTAAATCACATTACTTCTTCATATATAAAATTATGTTAAATTATATGTGAAGCTAAATTTCAAAATGACGGATTTTCTTTAAACCCAGAAATGTTTATTCATAATTTAGTAATTATATTCTTCCACTAAAATTATGTTCATAAAATAAGCTTTTGTTAAAACTCCAGTTGTTTTAATTTAAATTTTAAGTATGTTTTAATTTTAGTTTGAAGTTTGTTTTAATTTTAATTTCAAGTTTGTGTTAATTTTGTACACATACATACAAATGTCCCATTTTCTGCAATATATTATATATGTTTTTATTCTCATGATTAACGACGATTTCTTATACACTTCCGAGGAACGTCCATATTATCACTGTTATCAAATTGTGGATCTAAGTGGCTCTTCAAATTCTGATGTCGTCTGCGAGCATGCTGCTCGCAGAATGTTTAATTTCCTGAAAATTTAGCGTCTATGTAGATCGATCACCGTGAGGAATTCATGTAATCAAGAATGTTCCACAACTTTCTTGAAGGAAGTCGCAAGAAGAATAAGAAAAAGGTTTCTTCGACGAACTGGGGGAAAAAGCATTGTTAGCATAATTGCTGCATTTCAATGTTAATTGATGCTTGCTTTAAAACATTATAAGTTTTCATATTTCAAAATAAATTGAAAACTTTCAACTTTTAAAATTACTTTGCATCTTTGATTTTTTAAATATTTTATTTTATTCTATTTTCACCTCTTCTTTATTTTAATATTTTATTGCGTATGGCAATTTTTTAACCTCGTCAAATATAATGGGAAAATTAAAGTAACTCTACAAATATATATTTTATGCAAATATAATATCATACTGATTTTTTTTAAACTATTTTGAAACTCATTCATGACGATATTAAAATATCAAAAAATAAAGAATATTCGTTGTTTGAAAAATGGTTATTTATAATTTCTGTATCTTTCAAATATTTATTAAACATCTGAAAGTACTAATTTATGATAATACAAGCTCTTGACCGCAACCTCCTAATAATATTGTCCCAACAAATTTGAAATTAACAAAGTTTGAAAAGGACCGGAAATCAGATTCGAAACAGTATTTATTTTAGTTGTTTTGCCCGAAGACCCCATCCTTCTTAGATAGGAAATTCATGTTAGAAAGCACGATGGATCCTTGCCAGGGCCGTATTAGTGTTCCTCGTTAGAGTTTGAAAGCGTACAGACTGCAACTGCAGTTGCAGCAACCAAGTGCAACTATCGTTCAAGCGTTCAAGGGTCACGATACGAGTTCCAGCACGGTTTTGTGGCTGAAAAAGGGAATGTAGGTTCATAAACTGGCGACGGTCAAAAAACAATTTACCGGGCTAAAAATTTCTCTCACATGTCCTGCTACCATTTACATCTCTTTAATGCTAATGTACTTTTTTGTTCTACTTGTCTACTAATGTACTTTTTAATTCTACTAATATGATGCAACTGTATTTTTATTTTAAAAATGAAAAAAATGAGTAGGTTTTCAAGATATTAAATTATTAAAATTTATTAATTATTGGGAATATTTTTATTTTTACAAAAATGTTACATTGTTGCATTTAAATACTATTGTATCATTTTAAAATTACAAGTTTAGAAAAATATATAAAGCTTTCAAGTTTGAAATATAAAATAGCAGATTTCCAATAAACACATTTCCGGACACATAAATTTTCAAAATGTATAAATAATGCAAATTTGTTAAATAATTTTGTGTTAACAATTATTGTAATTGTGTAGTTAATAAGCAATTACTGTGTTTCTAATTAGAGTAATGATTAAATATTTCAAGGATAACTCTTGTTTAAACAAGAACAAAAATAAAGACAGATTTCTTTATTTATAGAAAAAGATCTCCGATTCCTCCATCGATTTTATGCATGCAAAGTCTGGCACTCAAATCAGGCCACTAGTCTAATTCTTATTTATAGGGACAGGATGAAATATCGAGAAAACTTGTTTAATTTCCTGTCACTTCATCTTTTTTACAACGTCTTCGAAATAGCATATTCTAAAATGAATTTGATGCCCCATAATACTGATAGTATGGCAATATGAGTTGGTTCGAAGACTATGTCACAATTTGAAAAGCTGCTTAGTTCAGGTCTTATAGTGATCAGTCGTGAGATCGATTTCTGAAAGATTTATGAAGAGGAAAAAATTAAGTTCGTATAATGAAGTTCATCGAACAGAAAGGTAGACATATGAAGTAGTTTGATAAACTAAATAAAATTTGAATGAATTAAATATTTTTTTATTGCTTTTGAAAATTGTAGTACATTTTGTGGAATAGTAAAAATAGGGTACATATTATTTTATTGTATTTATGTAAAATATGTAAAATATTTAAGTACATATACTGACAAAAATATCATATACATTAATACTTCTTGATTTTCAAACGTAATGAGCATATGAGCATGTGAGTGTGTGAGTATGTGAGTATGAGTATATAAGTATGTGAGTATGTGAGTAGGTGAGTATGTGAGTATGTGAGTATGTGAGTATGTGAGTATGTGAGTATGTGAGTATGTGAGTATATGAGTATGTGAGTAT